GGGTAACGGCATTTGCCTTCCTCTCCCCGGGGCGCCCTCACCCCGCCATGCTGCCAGCCGGCACCTCCCTCCCGCCTCGGCCTGCCCGGGGGCCCCGCTCCTCCTTGGCCTGGTGGCTGCCGAGGCTCCAAAGTGGATCCCTTGGGACCCCCCATGGATCTCCCTGTTTCCCCTTTCATTCCCCATCTTGGTGCCCACCTTTGCTTCCCAACTGACCCAACTTGCCTCAGTTTTACTGCTTCTATTTGCCATCCAAGGCAGCAGCCAGATGACTGTTATGATCAGTAAGATATATATTTTTTCTGTATATTTATTTTGTTGCTGCTTGGTGTGACTAATGGCAGCAGCACAAGCTATTCCTTGGCAGATTCGCCTTCCCAAATGAAAAATCTGTCTGGTCTAAAAGCCCTGACTCATGCAGGGAACAAACCGATGCACCGAGTGCCGCGGGCTGAGCGTGTGCAGGGCTGGGCAGCGGGTGCCACCGTCTCCTTCCCGCCTTGTCCCGCAGGGATGGCCGCTGCCGTGGGGTGCGCGTCCCTGGAGGAGGAGCGGCGCTCCGGCGACGGCGGCGCCGCGCCATGGGCACCCGGCCGAGGTAGGCCTGAAAGAGCCGGGTGGTGGAGTTCGTGCTCGGGGAAAGCTGCTTAAAACCCTTGGGCTATGCAGGAGAGGTGCCAGGAGTTATGGCATTATTCCTTTTTTTTTTTTTTTTTTTTTTTTTTTTTTGGGAGGGGGGCATTACTATGTACAAGAGTATTTAGTCAATGCTGCAGAAAACCCTCTCTATTTGGGTAGACCGGAGTGGTGGTTTTCCAAAGTAATTCATTTAATAAAAATACCATGAGTCAGCTGTGACAAGTGGGGCTGCTGGGTGCCATGCACAGTTTAAGGAGCTAAGAACCATGAGGAATCTGTCTGGGCTGGTGCAGGCTCATGTCTGATGTTCCCAAGTGTCTGAAGCCTCAAGTACCACTGTAACAATAGGGAGCTACAGGAAAAGCTTTGAACGAACTCGTGTCTATTAAAATTAGTTTTGTAGCTCCAAGGTACTGTCCCTTCATAGACCTAGCAAAGTTATTGCATGAGAAACATTTTGCCGTTGCTGTTTGCTTCCTAAGGCTCTTTTGGTTCCTGCTGTTCCTTATAGAATGTTTCCTGAAGAATATTGCAAATGTTGCTGAGAGTGAGGCTCAAGATGGTGAATTCCCTGATATTTCCCACTATGAAAATGACGTCAGTGGATTTGCGGTTGAATCTATTCACTCCTTGTCGGATCTGGAAGAGTCGGAGGGTGAAGCATCCAGTGTGTCTGAAGTTGCAGCTTTTCCTGAGCTCCAAACTGCTGCTGAATACGAGGTGGAGGACTGGGACAAAGAACTGGAGGATTCTGAACTTAGTCCATATGGTAAGCGCAAATTTATTTATTCTTCATTCAAGTTTTGGCTAGTACATGGTTGGAGGTGGGTGCTTTGCAGGTGAATGTGTTTAAATAGCATCATGTTTTCCTTTGTGAAGTGTTTTTGTTTTGAATTTACCTCATGAATTTGTGTTGCAAAATTTTATTTTCTTGTAAAATACAAGATTTAAAGCAGTGTTGTCTAGTTCAAGTGTAATTTTTTTTGCTTGAGCAATTCTTAAGGGATGGGACGGTAGACGGAAGATTGTGTGTATGGAGTTTTCTGGAGAATCTAGGGCTGTATAGTGAATCCTTATTCTGAAGCAAAAGAGACTGTTTTGAGGACTTCAGAAATATAACATCTTTTGTGTGAAAGGTCCTCCTTCCTTTCAGAGAAAAAAAAAAAATCACTCGATTGTACAACCTTAACGTGTCTCCAGAGCATGGAGCTGTTTGGAGGCGAGTGGTGCAAGCACTTGGTCTGTGTCCAAAGTACAGTTTGTTGCTGCTGTTGGACTTTGTTTTTAAGCTTGATTCTGTAAATAACTGTGTAAATAACTACCTTCTCATCAGTGCCTTGGACAAAGGTGGTAATGGCAGTTTTACAACCCATTTTTACAATAGTATTGATCATTCTAGCTGTAAGAAGTTTAATAATCACTCTTGCCTGAACTGAGCCTCTAAACCTTCAATTTTCCAGGCTATATGTTGTATGCTTAGCCAATAGTGAGTGATAACCTGCTGAGTTTTTGTGCATGCAGAGCAGTATCACTGAAGATTTGTATCTGACCAGAGTGTATCTCTTGCAATTAATACAAACAGTTCTCTCTTTGCCTAGGAGATACCTATTTGTTTATTATCATGCTGCAGGTGACTGTAGTATTCAAGTTCAAGGTTGGCAGTAGAAGGATCTGGGGAAGTTTTTGTGGTCTTCCTATAAAAACATATTAATTTTAAAGTGAAAATAACAGTGCTGACTCTTCATGCTGGGTTATCTGAGAAAAGTGCTGTTTCCTTTTTTTTTTTTTTTTTTTTTTTTTTTTTTTTTCTTTGATATTTCCATTCTGGATGTTTCTCTTCCATTTTTTGGTTATCCTTTTTATCCTTGTCTGCTCAAATTTATGCAATGTTTTGAAACTACTGATTTGGATTGAAAATATCACAGGTTCTCATCTCTTCCTGTATTTAATTAGCTCATCATTACTTATGCTTTTCTCCTTCTGTATTTAGTGGGAGGGAGGTGTGATTATTGGGTTCAGGTGCTTATGAAGGATCCTGATGATGAGTGTCTTGGTTAACTGCTGCAGAGGAGTGCTTGGGCAGCCCTCTGTGTATGAGTTTTTTTCTTTTTTGTTGTTGTTCTTTGTTTGTTTTGTTTTCCTGATCTATAATCACCTTTGAGAATGCTTGTTGTGTTTGCTTGGCTTGTTCTGCAGTGCTATTGGAAAAAGGCAAGGGGGTACACTGTCCTCTGTCCCATCATCTGGGCTTTTCATTTGCTTAGTCCCTTCCATATTAGCTGGCTAGAAATCTTTTGCCCTCTAAAAATAGGGCAAAGTCTTGTTACCTATTTGGTAAACAATAAGTTTATAGAAACATTGTTCAGACCTAGCTTTTGCATGGTCTCATTCTTCCATTGCTCTCTGGTTGACCCAGTCCTTGAAGGGTCTGGGGCCTTCTAATTGGCCATGTGGTTATGGAGGGAGCTGGAAAGAGAAAATAAGTGTGTGGCTTTGAGCCTTTTATACCCGAAGTGAAGGAAGAACTGTATGAATTGTAGGAGCTGCTGTTGCATGTTCTGAGTCCAGGTGTGTGACTGAGCTTTTGGGAAAACTGTTTTAGGTTGTCTCTGGGGCAAGAGGCATTTTTTAAAATGAAGCTGTTGCCAAACTCAGCTTTTTGAGTTTGTAGGCTAGTTTCACTAGTGCTTGTAGATCAGATTGAAATTATTGACTGGAAGATACTGTGCAAAATATATTGCTATGCTACACCACTAGTTTTGTAAATATCTTTCATGGTTTAAATCTCTTTTTTTTTTTTTGATCTTCTTTAGATGCTGGCGATCTCCCCTGTGGAAGCTTTCAGGAGAATAATCTTTTGGCCTTGTATTCGTGGCGAGAGGATTCGGTGTACAATCCAGGGTGTCACCATGCACCTTGCATTACTTTTACATCACCCATTAGGATCACTGAGGCTGGACAGTTTGATGATGCTGAAGAATAAGGTTGCCCCTGGGCAGAACTCAGTTTGGCTTCTGAGTTGGACTGTGTTCTTCACTGATTAATGTCAAGCCCTTTGGCTTGCTGATGGAGGTCTGGATGAGGTCAGACATGCTGCACCATTTCTGAAGTTTCTCAGGCTCTTCCTGGGGTTTGTGTAAGATGGTCATGCTTGACCTCTAGAAACCGAAGTGCAGGTGCTGGTTATAAGTTGTTGTTCACTTCTGGACTGTTCTTTGTGTGTTACACCTCTATATTGTTGCTAATTAACTGCTTGGGAGGAAATACTTGATTTCTAAACATCAGCCTGATTGCCAAGTTTAGCCAGTTTTAACATGCTGGTCCTGGTGTATCAACCTATGTTTTGTGCCGTTTTCTTTCCTTTGCGTTTGATGCTATCAAATTGGTTCAAATAGTTGTAAAAATGTCTTCCTCCTTTCAACTTTTATATTGCAATTTTATATTGCAGTTTGTCACTCATATTCTGGTGTTTGAAAAAATTAGCCATGACATACAATTATTTTTGTTAATATTTTAAAAGCTTTTCAATATGAATGAGTTATAGGTATTTGGTATTCATTTTTGCTGTTACACATGTGGACATTATGAGGATTGGGTAAGCAGGCCTGTTGCACCTAGTGAGAATGCTGGGTGTTGTGGATGCAAGTGGACTGAGTGGCTGATCATTTAATGCTTCAAGTTTCATTAATAACTTTTCTTTCGAGAGCTTTTTTAAGATGTCATGTTTTGACACTGATTGTTGATACTAAAGCCCAATACCCATGTTTGTTTATTCTCTGGCAAGAAGTTAACATTTAGCATTGGATTTTTTGCTTGTTTTGTTTTCTAATCATCTAGTGAATAAGACTGAAATAATTTCAAATAACTTTCTTTTTTGTGGAAAGCAAAAGTGAATGGCAAAGTAATATTTCCTTGTCCAGAGGAGGACAAGAGTTTGGAAGACTCTTTTCTGGTACACTGCAGTTCCTGAGTAAATACCAGTAGCTAGCAAGCCATACAAGTAAAAGCTGGAAGCCTAGGGCTGGGGTTGGAGGCCAGCCCACCCGCTCTCTTGTTGCGGTGTGCTGGGGCGCTCTGAGGAGCGGTATTTCCATGAGAAGTTCCTCCAGCACGTTCCAGCACGCTGTCACGCTCGGCCTCGCGCCGCAGGGAGGCTCTGGCCGTGCTCTCCGGGGCGGCGCGGGTGCTTCGGGTCTGTGTTGGGCTGCTGCAGCCTTGGACGGGTCTGCGCTCTGCGTGGCGAGCAGAGCTCTGCGGTTTGGTTAGTACTTGCCTTTGCCTCCGTGGAACAGCAGTAACAATTGACTGTGACAAACTTTTCAGGGTTGGATATGTAGCAGCTGCTTTCTCCAGCTTAGAAAACAGAAATGAAGCTGATTGAAATTGCTGCTCAGAATTTATATATGCACTATAAATATATTGAGTACAGACTGTTTTTGAAGTAATGATGTGTACCACTAGATAATAAAAGTTCTCTGAAAAAGCATGGTTTATTTTGTAAGCCTCTTTATTACTTTCAAGAACAGCAGTGGTCAGTGTTACCCTGCAGAGGGCAGCAAAAAGTTGTCTGCTCTGTGAATGTACTTTCATTTGGCCAAAAAAAAAAAAAAAATCACCAGAAAGTGTGGGATCTGCACGCAGGATTCAGGATTTCTGGCATTGCAGTAACTATTTAGATCTGGGTGCTGCACAGCCCAGTTGTTCCCTGGTGAGCCTGATTCATGGCCCTGATAAGTTTCTCCTTTTTTTTTATTTCACACTCAAATTGTACTTAGTGGACTGAAAAATTTCTCCCATGGATGAGAAAAGAACATCAGTTGACTTTGGGCTTAATTTATATATTTTTAGTATGCTTGTAGGAGACATCCCATAGGATTTAATAAAGATGAAACTAACAGAATTCTGTGGAAGCAAAGCTGCCTTCTTGAGCCTTATGATTTAAAAGGATAACGAAAAAGTCCTTAAAATTGATTAGGTTGATTTTTTTCATCCTGTACAATTGCAGAATTCCATCAGTCCCAAAGTCTCCAAGCCCCTTCTTACATATTCCATAAATGGAAAGCACATCTCAAGTCAAGCTTGTTTTTTCAGCCTATACTTGTAATTGGAATCAGCCCTGTCTATCTGGATTGTTTTGTTATTTGAGGAGAAACGGTCTTGAATGGCTGCCTTGCCAAGCTGCTTGCATTTTAAATGAGTGTAAACTTTAAAGATTCGTGATTAGTTTTCAGTTTTCCTTTTAGGTTGAAAGCGACCACAATCTCCCCCAGCCTTTTTAAGATAGAGGATTTTGCAGCAGAGATGCGTGGCTCTCTCTAGGGATATGTTGGCAAATGTAACTTTGTTTTGGCCCTGTTTGTTAGGGAAGGGGCTTAGTGCAAGGACTGAAGTGAATTCTCTCAAAGCGCTCTTCCCTAGGAGGATTTGAAACCAAGCTCACGGTTTCTAGTATTTCTTCACTACACAGTGTTTCAAATTCCCCTGCAGATCTTGTCCTGAGTCTGCTCTGTCTTGACACCAACGTGTCTTTCTAGGCAAGAATATCTTACAATTCTACACAACATAAGGTAGCTTATGAACCAACGATTCAAGCCAAGAGAATCAACTCTTCAGTCTGCTCAAATAAATAAAAGGAGGATCAAGATTGTAAATATTTGGTATATGCAGGGAAAATACTGGCAGCCTGTAAGTCAGTTTGAAAATGTTTGCTTGTATGTGGGATGTGTCCCTTGTGTACCTTCAGTGTGAGTGCGCAGAGGCCCTGCTGCAGGTCAGTGCTTGGGCTTACACCACGGGGGAGGCCTGGGAGGCAGCGTGCAGTGGCTCAGGAGGTGACCTGGCTGCAAGTCAGTGTGCCCTTGCTTTCCTGCTGTCTTGTGCTGCACTTCCCTTTTCCAGATGGAGATAACCTCTTTGTAAAGCACTGCACATTTGTGGACAAGAATTTTTGTATAAACAGTGAGGTGTTATTATTAAAGAACTTTGCATTTTCTTTGAACTTGCCAGCAAAGAAGGTAAAACTTGTTTTGGGTGCATCTGCTATTTCCTTTGAGATCTACAGAGAATGATTTGGAGGAGGAAATAATTAAAGAAAGTGTGTTCATATTTCCTGTTGATAAGATAACAGCATTTAATTCATTCATCAGATCGGGATGCTGTTTTCTTGCTCTTACGTGGCCACACTACCCACTACCATTTCAGTGTCTTAGACACTCCTGCTTGGCTGCTGTGCTGTCCCTGCTTTAAACCAGTGTATTTTGGCTCATAAGCTGAGAAACGCCTCCACTGTTGAGCTGGACGAGGTGGCTAATTTCACAGACTGAAGGAAAAATGCTGATGGCAGCAGCCCATCCTGACCAGCTGCTGCTTCCGAGGACTCCGATGTGAATCCCGCTGTAACAAAGGCTATTTTGTGGAGCGTGTGGATAAGTTCCTGAGAGGACTGGAAAGAAACCTGTGATTCTTGTCCTCTGTGGTGCTGTAGTGCAAATGTCCTCAGTGGACACTAGAGGTTTGGAGGGAAAGGCTGTGGTGGAGCTGGTTGTCTTGGGAGTTGTCAGTTGCTCATAACCAAATTTCCTAATATGGCAGAGGAAACTATGCAACCCCTTAGAAAAAAGTGCAAGGCACAGAGCCCTGGCGTGGTTTAAGTGATGAAAAGGGCCTCCTTGGAGCTGTGGGGACAGCCCCTCAGCCCGCAGAGGCTGTTGCAGCGCGTTCCCCGCGCAGCAGGTCTGCCGCACCAGCGGCTCTGCAGCACCCTGCGGTGCCTCTGCGCTCCGCTCCCAGGTCCTAGAGCTTCACTATTTATTGCAGGGAGTTCTGGTTCCTCATGTAACGGGCTCTCTATGTTCACTGCGTCTGTTCTGACCTTCATGGAGAAAACAGATCACAAACGTGACTCGATGCTTTGTTTCTTTGCAGATTGTTTTCTTTTTTCTCATTGAGGATAGCTAATTTCAGGATGTGTTGCCAAATTCAGCCTAGGAAAGTTGATCTTTGTAGAATTTAGCCAGCTTTGGTTCTTTGGCCCGAACAATTTCTGTATTTAGATCTGGAAAATCTTTTAATTATATGGTGGATGGATTTATGACTGATTGGGTTGCATTTGTGAACCTGGGGGTTCAATTTATTGCTTTATTTTTCTCAAAAGAAAATACCAGTCGGTTCCACTTGGTCATTTTTAGGCCGAGGTCTGGTGTGAAACCTGAAGCAGCAGCTAGAGTTGTTTGGCCTCTCTCCTCCACGTATGAACATGTATCATAGTGGGGCAAATGGGCTGATTTGGAGAAGGAGAAAAAGGGAAGGAATCCTTGATTCTCAAACTTGTCTGCTCTGTGCAGTCCCCAAGAAAGGGGCAGTAAATATGAGAACAGTTTGCTCCCTTCTGCACAGCGTGGGGAAATGACACTTAAAGGAAGGTTGGGAGTTTGGCTTGGGCTGTGGTTAGCTCATTATGTTGTCTTCCTGGAGCTGGGCAAGTGGCAATCTGAAATGAATGCACAGAAGTGGAGCCCGTAAACAGCCATGGTGCTAATCCAGAAGCCGTCAGCATTTTCTTGTCCGTTGTCATTACTGGATTTGCTAGATAAACGAGATTGCCCCTTGCCCTCAACATAATCTCTACCTTCAGCTCTGTGTTCTTCAAACAGGCCATTATTTTCCCAGTCTGAAACACCTTTTATCTTCTGATTTGGTAAGTTCTTGCCTTTCTGCTTCATTTGTACTTGATTTATCTGATTGAGCGTCTAACTCTGCAGCCTGTACTTTGCCAGAAGACTCTGGTGTTTTCGGTGGGATGGGTCAGACATTATAAATAAAGACATTAGGAACTGGCTAGAAAAGTAGATAAAGATTTCCCAGGGAGAGACTGTCTGTCTAACCAGATAAAAACTACATTTAGTTCTACCCTCTGCAGTTGTGTTAAGGGGTGGGTTAGATTTAATTTGGTCTTTTTAGAGAAGTGGACAAAGTGTTCTGACAGATCTGGGATTTGGTTTGTGATCAGGCTTTTTTTATGTGGTCTTTAAAGTTCCTTGCAGCCCTATAGGAAAACTTG